AATAATGTATTATTGGTGTTATTACATTGCAATAACTTTGTTAATGCTAGAGTTATTGGCATTATTGATTCACCTGTTACTGGCCCAGACTGCCCCGCCCTGCTTGTGTCTCCTTCCCGGTTACCAACTCTGTTACTCTCTTGTATGCTCTTGGCCTAGACCACTGCCTGAATACCAACCACTCTCTTGCGTCAACCTTTGCCTGGACACTGACCGTGCTCTCACCCATTCTTACCTCAACTAGTCCTCAGACCTCATGCCATTCCACCCTCTTTTTCCACATTGTAGCCACCATGCTCCTGTGACCCCTCGGCGGGGTGATCCTGAGGGTCATGATCTGGTATTAATTCACAGCACAGCAACCTGGGAAACATTAGGATCAGCCGCCAACTATTGCTTACAGTGTGATTTTGTGAAGACCTAGTTGGAACGTATACTACACACCTCTGGTGAGTCCATGTTATCTGCAAGGGGTGTCAATTCTAACACTAATAAAAAAAACCCACTTGAGTTGCTGTTAGGGATCCGGGTATGACCAGAAATGTGTGGGAACACAGGCGTAGTCAGGGCTGGAGAGGTGGAATGGTCAGGCAAGCCGTTAGGTACTGTACAGGGCGCGGGGTCTTAGTCCCAATCTGCTTATTCACCAGGGCCCCTGATGGTGGGGATGGACTTGGAGCAGACTGATACCAAGTCGCGACCCCTGAGTACGTCCGGCAATGGTAAAGAGCGTCGTCAGAGGTGTGCGGGGAAAAGGAGCCTGATGTGAAGAGGCTGGCAGACCTGTTAACAGGGACAGATCTGTGCGGGATGGATGGATGGATCGTCTGGGTAGCGTCAGGCGTAGTCAGGCAGGCCAGGTCAGCAACGTGCGGGCAGCGAGGTACCGGAGGAGCAGGCAGAGAATAGTCAGAGTCACAAGCCAGGTTCAGTCACTCACAGGCAGCGCGGTACAGAGGATCAGGCAGAAGGATGGTCAAGCAAGCCAGGAGTTAAACAGGAGACGGTCAGCAGAGGTCAGGTTCAGAGCAGGGTCAGCAACTAGGCAGATAGGCAGAAACACAGGATACCAAGTACAGGGGCGCATGGGAAACAATACACCAAGGCACTGACTGCAGGTCTGGCCATTCCTTAAATACACCTCCTGCAATCAGCCTCAGGTGATGGCTGACTGCAGGAGTGAGCTTCTGGTTGCTGAGAGCACCCGCTGGCCAGCCCTGGTACTGCAGCCCACACGGCAGGTGAGTCCCACCACCAGTGGTGAATCCATTCCTGACAGTTGCTGTGAGAAAGGGAGGAGGCAAGGTCCTGTAAGGGGCCATGGGGTAGACTAGCAAAGGTCACCAGGAGCTGAAAATAAAGCAAACTGTTTGGATGCAGACCACTAAAACCCTGGTGTCCAACCTCTAGCCTGAGGACCACTTGTAGACCTTCCATACTTGTTGGACCCCTGAAGTCTGTAGTGGGATTGGAAACATTGATTATAAAGAGGGGTTATAATGATAAGGATCTCTATTAGCCTCATGTAACATGTCTCCATTTTCTCACTGTCTTCTGCAACACGTCTACCTCCACCATCTAACCAAAAGTATCATGTCCACTATTGCTGACCATCATTTCTTCTACAATGTCTGCCATCTCTAAGAATCCCATTGAATGTTACATATAATGAATATTATGTGTGGAACTTTGATGATGCATCAGGGTATGAAATTTAGGGCCTCTTTTAGCTCCTCAGCGGAAAACCACTGCACTCAAAAATAGGGCCAAGCTCTTTTGGCCCTACTTTTCCTGGGGATCACAGGAATGTACTTCATTCTGCATTTCTGTGACATAACTCAGCTGGTCCAGACTCTGAAGAGATCTCAACTTTAAAGTTGGGATTACGAGGTGTCAGGTGTGATAGTGAGCCATTTTAGATGGCCAACTCAATGGTTCCCCAGGGTTCAGAGCCTAGGATACAGCCTTCAACAGGGCCCCTGATGGCGTGGATGGACTTGCAGCAAGCTGGAACCAGGTCATGGCCCACAGGTACGCCCAGCTGAAGATTAGGAGACTACTCAGGTCTGCAGAGTACAAATGTCAGGAGACAGAAGGAAATCCGGGAAACAAGAGGTCAGGGCAGGCAGCAGAAAATATGGGAAAACCAAGAAGCAAGCAGGAAAGCCAAAAACTGGGCAATCACTCAATTCTTGGTGTAGAGACAGCAGGGGACAGATGTAGCATCTGATTGATGTTGCATATACCTGGGTGAGTATTGTTTTTTTAAATCCTGAGCTTCTCTTTTCATATCTTCTTCAGATGAGCTGGTATAGTTTTTTTCTTCTAATTCAGTTTGTTGTACCCCCTCACCCTCTCAGTGCCAGTTCTCAAGACATAATTCTGCTCTAAAGAAAAAATAACTGCAATGTCCAAGGCTGCTCAGGCCAAAGACAGCACTGTTTGATGTCACACATCGCAATGACAAAAATATAAACAAATGCAAACTGATGTTCTATCTCAAAAGCAACACATTTTCTTTTGTATAGTTCCTGTCTATGGAATCCATTTCCTTTTAAGTCCTTGATAAGAAAAAAAAGAAAAAAAAAAAAAGAAAAGAAAAAGTTGATCGAGAAAGAAAGTATCAAGACTCGTAAAAGTAACAAAAATAATTGGATGCTATTTTCCCCGTGTCTATGGATGTGTGAATTAATACTTAAATGTACTGCTGAGAATCTGACTCTTAAAAGGAAGCAGATTCTTAAGAAATGATAAATGTATTTATTTTGTTTCTGAATTCTATAGATCTGGCGTTTGACAAACTCCAGACATCAGAAGTACAAGAACGTATAGAGAGATTCTGGGCTCCTGGCCTCCTTGCAAACAGAGCCGACAACACAGCATCTAAAGGTCTCTTATCTCCCTCCACAGAGTATTAGGGACACAGCTGCCTGTCTTTGATGCTTTGTGTCTCCACACAGATGATGAAGTTGGAGGAGAGGAGACATGCAGATCTCTCACTTCATCCTCTTGTACACTGAGGATGGCTGGCTGGAGACAGCTGCAGCTGTGCTTTGCACTACCTTGGCATTCAAATGTTTACTGCAGAAACTGGATCCGAAGAAAATATTGTCTGTTTGCAAAACATGTATAAGTTAATGCTCAACTCGGAGCTCCGTGCTCCCACCAACAAAGGACATACTCCTACTGTAACGGACCGCCTGACAGCACCTCTATCAGTCCCCCGGTAGAGCCTCCCCAGAGTGCGGAGTCTAAGCACTTGTTCACCAGGGCCCCTGATGGTGGGGATGGACTTGGAGCGCTCCGCTACCAGGTCGCAACTACCAGGTATCTCCAACAGGGGTAGAGGGGTCTGATAGGGGCTCCAGAGAGCTAGGAGTCTGATGTAAGGGAGCCTAGTGATCCCTGCGGGGTGGGTGGATGGATGAGCTAAATCAGAGTTGTGCAGGCCGGGTCGGTAACTAGCGGATCGGTAAGGTACAAAACGGTAGGCAAAGGATAGTCAGGTCACACGCAGGGTCAATACCAGGAGGTCAGATCTAAATGGGAACATCCAGGAGCAGAGTCAGGCAAGCCAAGGGGTCAGGACGGGAGAAGGCAACAAGGTCAAAACAATCCAGATCAGAAGTACTCACACACAGATAACAGGATACAAAGACCATTCAGCAACAAGTGTCTGTGCAGGGCTAGTTTAAATAGCCTGCCCTGCACCTGACAGGCATAGCCTGGGTCCCAGTGCCTGCCTAGTACTGTCCAGACGACGGGTGCGCCTGGGTCCTAGTGCCCTGCCACCTATACGTCTTGGCAGACACCTACGCATGTGTAGACCCATGCGTCGCAATGGTTCCTGACACCTACCCAGGGGTATATTTACCACAAGGCAAGCAAGACATTTGCCTAGGGTGGCATTTGTTAGGGGGGCAGCATTGCCCCTTGGAAGAAGGGGTGGAAGAAGAGACACACGCGGCATGGGTACCTGTTGGGTTCCAAGAGAGGCTGCAGGTTTCATGGCGGTGTATGCACAGCCCGACTCTTGTTCCTGTCTGGAGCTGTGAAGGTGAGTGTCTTTCTCTCTCTCACCATGGGGGATGGTGGCTGATATATGGGGGCAGTGGTAGTGGAAGGCTCGGGTGGAAGGCAGGGGTGTTCTTGGTTAATGTCAGGCTCATTCCTGCGGTGGGGGGGGATTTTTGTGTTGCCTAGGGCAGCACAAAACCTAAATACACCACTGCTCCCACCGCGGAGGCCCCTGCAAGCAGTATGTTATTTATTTATTTTTTTAACTTACTTTTTTTCTGATGTCTTCTCGCTGGTCGTGTGATCTGCTGAGACGTCTTTCTCCTCTGTCACTTTTCACTGGTGGGTGATGCTGGTTGGTGCAGAGATTTGATGACATCATTGCCGTTCACTGCCACACCACTGATGACATCAGCATCTCTTACTGCACAGGTGTCAAACTGGTGGCCCTCCAGCTGTTGCCAAACTACAAGTCCCATAAGGCATTGGAAGATTGATAGTTACAAGCATAGGCGGACTGACCATTTGGAAACTCGGGCACTGCCCGAGGGCCCGGGGTCAGTAGGGGGCCCCATGAGATGCCCCTGGTACCTTTTTCATAGGCTTCTTTGAGTTTGGGCAAGGACACAGGGGTCCCATGATCCCCTATTGCCTGGGGCCCCATGAGTTGTCAGTCCGCCCCTGGTTACAAGCATGACTCAGAAAAGGTAGAGGCATGATGGGACTTAAAGTTTCACAACAGCTGATGGGCTGCCAGTTTGACACCCCTGTAAACTGCATTAACCCCCCTGGCGGTATTCCCGAGTGTAGCTCGGGGCAAAGTTTCTGTACCAAAAGCGGTAACCCCCCCGAGCTACACTCGGGCTTACCATGCAGCGCTGCATAGGGATTCCCTGCAGCGCTTACCTTGTCCTTCGCTCCTGCGATGTGTCCCCTGCATCTTCTCCGGCCGATGCCGGCATCCGGCTTCCGTGTTCCGGTACCTGTGACGTCGGGACGTACGGGCGCCGGAACCAGCGGCAAATTTGAAAATTGTAAAAATTTAATTTTTTTTAAAAACGATTATTACATAGTAAAACATTGCTGTTTCAAAGCATTTCACATACATTTTGTCCCGAGTGCTTTGTCCGGCGCCCTGCCTGCATGTTTTTACTGTTCTTTCTGCCTGGAAACTGAGAAACGTCCATGGCGTCCAAAAAGCGTCCCTTTAGGTCAAAAGCGGGTTTAGACCGGCTAGAGAACAGCGATAGTAAATCAGAACCACTTGCAGAATTGAGTGATAATGATTCGTGGGGGAAATTCCTCAACAGACACTGAAAACGATTCTGTGCTCAGCGATGTGCGAACTTGCCGCTATATTTCACATTTCAGTGTTTTTGGTTTGATTATATTATTGAATTAAATTTATTATTATTATATTATTATTTTTTATGAGTATTTATTAAATTATATAATTTATGATTTCGTGTTTCAAGTTTTATCATACCCGGGATGTTTACTAGACTCTTGTTCGGACAGATTTCAGTGAGTTATTCCTAAAAATTACAGCCTACAATTAAAAAACGACATATTTCCATGCAAAAAAAATGGTACCGCTTTCAGCACCAAAAATCTGAAATAATCATACCGCCAGGGAGGTTAATACACAATGCAAGGTCCCATGGTCCACTACTCAGTTCCTCAGTAGGGATGGGCTTGATATTCAAGTTGAATGTAAGTTTGACTCGAACATAAGCCATTTGTGTGTTTACCAACATATGAACGGTAAGGGCATTCGGCAGGTGAACCCCACAATGCACCACGCTCTCACAGTGCATTGTGATTGGCCAAAGTAATGTACCTGACTGCAGGTCAGGTGATATGCTTTGGCCAATCACAGCACAATTGGACAGAGCCAGTGGTGATGTCACCGCTAGCTCCAGCTATTTGTTTACATCTGACTGGCAAATGTCAGGTTGCGGCGAGTGCTCAGCGGGTGCAGACAGATCGATGAGCATCGGGGTTTCTTTTTATTTCAGCAAGTCTTAGTAAGAGCGCTGGACGCTGTGATTGACGAGGGATTACAATGATGGAACCATTTTTTGGCTTTTTTTTTAAATAAAGGACTTGTCAAAAACTGTTGTTTTTTTTTTTTTTTTTGTTCAATAAAGGAATTTTTCAAAAGCCTGGCATCTTTATTTTTTACTGAATTTATCCCTTTAGTGAATGGGTAGGGGTACGAGTACTCCTTACTCATTCACTGGGGGGCAGCATCAGGGTGTATCCTTACTTAAAGGGGTACCCTGATGCTACTGAGCTCCACAGCTTTGGAGCTCCTGCCCTCCACCCGAGCCTTCCACAACCACTGCCCCCCAGTAGCAACCACAGGGTTGTAGGGAAGATACCCTTGTCCATATGCCGAGGACATGTGGCCTGGTCAGCCGCAGGCCGAACAGGCCAGTGCTCTGATCAAGAGTCTGGTAGAAATTTAGGGAGGGTGCCACGCTTTGTTTCCCCATTTTTGGGGAGTGGAGTTCCCCTTAAAAGTCCTAGCAGTCCTGAAGGGCCTGGTAAGGCTTTTACGGGCAACCCCATGCAGTTTTTTTTATTTGTTACTGTGGGGTCCCTCCTAACCTTCCTACCAGACCTAAAGTGTCTGGTTTGGATTTGGGAAGAGGGGGGAATACATTTTCGTATGTTTTTTTTTTTTCTATAAAATGCAATTTTTCTTTTTAAGTCAGTCCTGCTGCAGCAGGCTCTATACATTGTTCAGATGTGCAACTTTGCAGGTAGCTTAAGGGGATCCCCCCCCCCCCTGCATTATAGTAATCTTTATTGTTTTACTTTAAGCAATGAAAAATGACTGCCTCTTTAAAAATGGTACTTTTTGAATGTTTCTTTTTTCCCCATTTCTCTTTTATGGCCAATAACTTGCATATTGTTATTATTATACAGTACTTATATAACGCCAGAAAGGTTTGCTCAGCGCTGTACATTGTAGTGGGGGACAGAACATGAGATAATACAGTAACAATACAATGCACGAGGGGTTCGAGGGCCCTGCTCTTTCGAGCTTACAATCTAGGAGGGAGGCGAAAGTGGTACAGGAATAAGTGGCTGTGGGGGATGGAGTGGTAGGAGGAGTTAGGCTGTTAGGTGAGGGTGGGGTAGGCTTCCCTGAAGAGATGGGTTTTCAGGGTGCGCCTAAAGGTGAGGAGGGTAGGTGACAGTCTGATGGATTGGGGTAGTGAATTTCAGAGGATGGGGGAAGTCCTGGAGAAGTCTTGCAGTTGGGTGTGGGAGGCAGAGACCAGGGAGCTAGAAAGTAGGAGGTCTTGTGAGGAGCAAAGATTACGGGTTGGGTGGTATTTGGGTATCAGGTCGATCAGGTAGTTTGGGGCAGCGTTGTGAATGGCTTTGTATGTCAGTGTTAGTAGTTTGAATTTAAAGCCTTCAAAATGGGCACTTTTGAATTTACACGTTTGAGTCTCATAGACCTGCATTGAGTTCGAAGTTCACACCCGAGCATTCATTAGGTCATTCAACCCAGAAGACTGGGGACTAGGTAGTGTATGGCATCCAATCCGGTTTTGTTTTATTTTTTAAACCTTGAAGGGGAAATTTAAAATGGTGCACAGCCCAGACTTAACAAGGACTTGAAATGTAGAAGCTGTGCCCAAAATGATAAGCAGAGGAAGGACTGGTCCCCAGTATTGCCTGTAGAATTTCTTTAGCGTATCTTTTTCTAGGGCTTATTTTACAGCTGGAACTTGGTAGAACACAGTTCTACCACCTCTGGCTCAGGCACTCTGCTCGCTGCTCCAGTTTCTGTGTTTACAAGTGACAGTTTGTCTCCCAACTGCTCCCCCAGTTCTGATCTCCTGAGTGTTTCCCATTGAGGATGGTGTTAAGGGAGATGCAGCTGCCCAGGATGCAGTACATATGGATGATCCACTGGATGATCTCCCCCGCAAGTGAGAGAGAAGGAGCCAGGATGAGCATGACGTTCCTTCAGAGCACATGCACTGGAGACATCACCAGCTGCCAAAAGAGTGAATAACTCCTCAATTGATATTTATAATAAAGATTAACCTACAGGTAAGCTTTATTATAAGCTTACATGTAGGTAAAAACCACAAAGTGGAATTTACTGCCGCTTTAACATTTTGATGAAACTTCGGGTATTAGTACGCTTGGACTTCAGAAGAAGGGGGTTTGGTTGAATTTGCAGTTGGTTTTTATAGTTTGTGTTTTATAAGAATAGCACTCTTCCTAATTACATTGGAGTTCTCAAAACCTTTGAATGTTCTAAAGTTTGCCAATCATTGGCAGAAGGAGTTCACATGCCTTAGGATTTTGACTTGACTTTCAGGACACTGATAAAAGGAGTCTCACCTTTGCCGCCCACCATTCCGTAGTCCACTCCTTTCTTTATCTCACCAACTATCACACTTTAATTAAGTGTTTGTCAAGGCCCTACCTTTCTTCAGAGCTTGTGCATCTCCATGTGCCGGCATCCATCTTGGGTTTCTGAAAAGCATGGTGGGAACCGTTTATGCCTTCAGGCTTCTGCGGCTCCCCCTCAGAAGGGTGTGGTTGAGCACATTTAAACTGGTGTCTGCAAGTGCTTTCTGCATTCGTGTCCTGTATGTTTCCTTGTCGCAAGCTCTTGTTCTGTTCTCGTTGCTCTCCTGGTAACCGACTCAGCTTGGACAAGACTATTCACTGCTTTAACCCTTTACCTGACCTCCCGTTGCTGAACCCGGCCCGTGACCTGAGTATTCTTTGCCTACCATCTAGTACTGTCTGCTCCGTTGTTATTGACCCGGCCTGTCTGACTACGCTACACGTGTTCCCATCTAGCTCCCACCAGCTGTACGCCATTGGCGGCAGTCGTTACCGCAGCTGGGGTTACTCGGGGGCTGCGACCTGGTCTCAGGCTGCGTCAAGTCCATCCCTACCATCAGGGGCCCTGGTGAAGGGTAGCCTGGGGCTTAGACTTCGCGCCTTGAGGGACTCTGGTCTGTGGGTAGTGGATGTCGTCAGTCACGGCGTGACTGTACCATAGGCCTGCCTGCCCATTCCATCATTCCTGCCCTGACAGTGTTCCTGCATGGCAAGACCACTTACTGTTATCACACATATATATTCTTATTATTATAGCCAAATTTACCACCCTAACTCCTCCCACAGTTTTTACACTACATAGACAGTAATATACCGAAACGTGCGGATTGTTCCCGATTGGTGTGCTATTACTTTGTGGAACGTTTCGCCGAATGGTTCACGAAATATCACCGTTTTTGTGGTGAAATTGGTCCCATAGGAATGAATGTGGAATGTTCATAACTAGAGTGGGAGCTGACAAAAGCTAGAGCAGTGGTTCTCAACCTGTGGGTCGCGACCCCTTTGGGGGTTGAACAACCCTTTCACAGGGGTCCCCTAAGACCATCAGAAAACACATATTTCCGATGTGTAAAGAGCAGCTACTGTGTAGAAAGCAGCTGCTGTGTTGAAAGCAGCTACTCTGTTAAAAGCAGCTACTGTGTAGAAAGCAGCAGTATTGGAGGTAAAACGACACTTCGTGAACTAAATTACTGGGTAAATCATTTTATGGTTGGAGGCAGGGGCGGACTGACCATTTGGAAACTCGAGCACTGCCTGAGGGCCCGGGGTCAGTGGGGGGGCCCATGAGATGCTCCTGGTACCTTTTTTTTTTAAACTAGGCTTTTTTGAGTTTGGGCAAGGACACAGGGGCCCCATGATCCCCTTTTGCCCCCTGGTTGGGGGTCACCACAACATGAGGAACTGTATTAAAGGGTCGCGGCATTAGGAAGGTTGAGAACCACTGAGCTAGAGCGTGAGCTGAAAAATCAGGACATGATTTCTAAACTGCCATCACTCCATCATTTTTAAGATCACCTACACAAATCTTATATCAAAACGTTCAGCTCCGCCCACCCTGCTGCCACTAAAAATCACAGTTACTCCAGCCACTCCAACCACACAACAGTTACTCCAGCCACTCCACCCAGTTACTCCGCCCACTCCAGTTGTAGACTACTGGTGGAGGCAAGAACACTTCACACAATTTCCCCAGAAATTGGAGCTTTTCTAGTTACCATTGCTGTGTCCGTTGTTATTTTTTCTCAGGGATGGCCCTTCTTAATGTTTTGATATTTTGCTAAAACTTTGTATATCAGTACTGCTTGGACATTAGAAGAAGATTAGATTCCTTGTCCTGAAAATGTCAATGTTGGTGCAAAAAAGTATCACAGACAGTATCCAATTCATTGCAAAAAAAGGAAGAAAAAAAAAGTCTGGGCTGAATTTCCAA